TATGACCGTTATTAATAAAAATATTTTAAACTTTAATGACGTGGCGTAACACGTCAGTATGTGATGTCATTTATATGGTGATGACATGACATATTACATAGTATTTTAGATTTTATTATTGAAAATTAGTTAAAGTTAGTTGAATTGGTTAATTAAAATAGACAGTGCTGTTGGAGTGAATTTGAAAAAATGGTTAAGCAAAATAGATAATATAATATTTAAAGAGCAATATTATATGAACTTATAAAATGGATTTAAAAATTAAACTTGATAATTTCAATTATTAATTTTACTGTGAGTTTCAATTTTATTAAAACTTGTTATTTATTTAATAGTTGAAATTATTAAATCTAATTTTTATATTTAATTTTGAAGTTATTATAAGATTACTTGTATTTAAATATATTTTGAGCGGATATTTTCGAGCGGAGATGCTCTAACTGCCGAGGAGCTCCGCCTTAAAAACCCACTTCATTCTATCTCTCCTCTCTGTAGCCGATGAACGATACCCCTTTCCTCCATCGCTTCTCTCTCTCTCGCTTCTTTGTCTGTGCAACGAGACTCGCCTCTGTCGGAGCAACGAAGACAGGAGCGCTCTCTCGCCTCTCTCTCTGCAACGAAGACCGAAGGTCCTTTCGCCTCTCTCTGTGCAACGAAGATCCGAAGGTCTGTCTCTGTCACTCTCTCGCTTGTCTCTCTGTTAGATTTGAGTTAGATTTTGTGTGTATATGTCTGTGTGTGTGTCGATTTGTGGGTATGGGTGGGTGTGTCGATTTGTGGGTGCGTGTGTGTGAGTCTGTGTGTGTGTGGTTGTCCTAAATGGGTCAGTGTGTGTGTGTGAGTCGCTTTCTCGCCGCTGTCGATCTGTGTGTGTGTCTTGCCTCTGTCAAACCCTTGAAAGCAGCAATCCCATGGATTTCACAACCGCCTCCTCTTCTTCTACCAAACACACTGCCTAACTGTGTGTTTCTGAGTGTGTGTGTGTGTGTTTCTGCGTGTGTGTGTGTGTGCGCTTTTGCGTGTGTGTGTGTGAATTTAGATGTAAAAAAAACAGATATATGGGTATGAATTTGCATATTTGACTTTGGGTATGGCTATGTATCCGCAATTATGGGTATGAATTTGCATATTTGATTTTCATAAGTTGAAATTTATGTAAAGCTTTGTGTAAAACACCACCTAATTATGCTGCAATTATGGGTTGTAACATCTTAAGGGTGTGTTCTATTTCAATTATGGGCAATGGTCAGTTACTTACTCCTAGGAGCTAACTACAAATTCAAAGGGAAACCCATCCAATTGTGGAACCTGCTTCTGCTCAGGTTGATAAGGTGACATTGGTTCCTACCAATTCTGTTTTTAGATAATTGACTCTGCATTTGTTGTTGCTTATGGAATGCGAATTGTTACTTAATGGCCTGTGTCTCTATACTTTTGCTGTGTCGTTGCTTGAATGGGGACTGTTAAATAAGCCAACTAATAGGAAAACGAAAAAGGAATTGAACCATTAAATCAGTCAAGTAATAGAAAAACATAAACATGAAGAAAGCAAAGCTAAGCAGAACATGAAATTTCTTTAATAAGTTATAAATTAAAGAAAGTCGGTTCCTCACTTATTGATCAATTGACATTAAGAAGTAATTCCTCTGTTTCAGGATTTTGTGCCTTCAAAAAGAATTATTCTAATACATCGTTCTAATTCTCTGCAATGTAATAACATGGGTACTAAAACAATTAACATTGGATAATGAAAGAACATAAAACCACAATCCAAAGTTTAAACTAAATGTTCATTAAAAAAATTTGAAAGCATACATACTCACATTCGTAGAGTAGTTGAATCCGATTGGAACTCCAACCATCTATGTTCTTCTTCCATTCCATTATCTCAACCAACTATATCTTGGAAAGTAAAAACTTCACTGATAATAATCGATAGAAGGGGAGTGGGTGTGGGTGTGAGTGTGGCTCAGATCTTAAGTGTCTGAGGTAAGAGGAGTACCAGAGATAGGTGCATTGTGGGGAAAAAAAGAAATCAAATTTGTAGGGGGATGGCGTAGAACAATTTTCAGATTTGAAAAAAGTGATTGAGCTAAGGGAGAGAAGGAACGGAGAAAGGTGAGGGATGGGGGTCTGCAAGTAGTGGGTGAGGGGAGGTCAGATCTACTTTTTATGACAAGGATGCAACTCAGATCTGGTTTCTTCGGCGTGGATACTACTTCGATTTGGCTACCTTCGAAAGAGAGAGGTCTAGTTTCTTTCGATCGAGAGGAACGATGGAGATCGCTAGCTTTCAATGAGATTGTCGACTCTCATAAATTGATTTTTCATGCAAGGAAGAACAAGGATTGTTGATCTGGTGGCAGGAGAAAGGAGTGTTATTGGTTTGGGGCCCAACGAAAGGCGTCGCCGTGGGTTTGGGGGCCGTAGGAGTAAATAGAGGATGGGGTGGGCGGAATGAATAAAGTCGAGGGAGGAATTGAGATAGAAAAGGGGGGATTCTGGAGATTAATCAAAACGACAAAATTTTAATGAATTTAGAAACAATATGATATCGTTTTGTACAATTTTTTTTCTTCACCCCTTTCCGACACAAATAAAANGATTAATCAAAACGACAAAATTTTAATGAATTTAGAAACAATATGATATCGTTTTGTACAATTTTTTTTCTTCACCCCTTTTCGACACAAATAAAATCAAAATTTTACACCATTTGCGTTGGTAATTGTTTCTGATGCCAAAAAAAAAAAAATTAAGTTTTCCTAACATTTGCATCAGCCATAAGTGTCGATGCAAAATTCCTTTGAAGCAAAAAGACTTTTCTCTTATAGTGGTTATTGCTGGGGTGCTACACTGGTTTTTTCTATAGTGATGTTGGTGTGCAACATGCTTGAAGACATCATATTTGGCTTTTATCTATGCACTTTGTGCTTTGTAACTAGCAAAATGTTCTTTATTTTTGCTTTCACTTGCTGTTTGAATGCATTGTAAATGTGGTGTACCTTTGTACATGATCATTGGTTAATAGAAGTCATTTACTTACCAAAAAGAAAGGAACTTTGGGTTATATTTTGTAGCAGGAAATAATATAAAGTTAATAAGTGAGACATATCTTGAAGTGATTATCAAATATGTTTTTTAATTTATTTTTTAATTTGGTATAAATGTTTGTTAAACATGTTTTCTGTTTTTAGTTTTTAACATAGAAAAAATAAGAATTGTTTATGTTTTTTATTTTTCAAAAACATTAAAACAAAAATGTTACCAAGCGCACCCTAAATATTGTAATCATTATAGTAAATATGGTAGGTATTTAACACCCAAGTATTATTTCAATAAATGGTAGGAATAAAATATCCCATTTTATTTTTTTTTGAGATTTCTCATTATTGTTTTCTCAAAGAGAATTTTTTGACCACCAAGTAGTTGGTTTAGTGGATAAGAACTCAGATTTCCTTGTTCAATGTTTAGGTTTAAGTCTCCGCAACTAAGACAGTTTGATGGGGCTAAAATTACTCTTGAACACCCACAACACGACGTGAGACCTATCTACATATCCTTTTTAAACACTGAAAAAAATGAGATTTTTTTGGGATTAAAAGTTGGGGGTTCGAACCTCTAGGTGACTGATGCAAAAAACCTCTGCAATTCGCACGACTTAAAATTAACTCCAATGTATTTGTTGCCAGTAGCGGACCCCATGCGATGCACGAGATTATATTCATGTTTTTTTAATTTTTTTAATTTTATTACTTGAGAAGTTAAATAAATAATTATATTTAAGTTTTTGGGTGGTAAAAAATAATTTTTTGAATTTTATTTTTAAAATAATGGTTAATTATTGAAGAGTTGATAGGTAGTTATTAATGACACATGTCAACGCCTGATTGGGGGGGTCATAAATTTTGAATTAAAAAATTTTAAATTCTAAGAAAAAAGAAAAGTGGGAGGGAAGGCTTCTCAAGCCACCTCCCACCTGATTTGATTGTTTTATATATATAGATAAATAGATTGGCCCTAGTCTACCCAACTCTCACTCTAGCATTTGCAAGGTTTTACAAGCCACTCACTGATTCACTTGATTCTCTTCGTGCCCTGTTAGGGTTTTTGATCAGAAATCCCATTACAATTACGTAGTGCTTGGAAACGTAGAGAGTAGAGGGTATAATATATATAGGTCAGTTTGATTTCTACCCAGTTTTTTGTTACCCTCTCTATATTTTACTTGTTCAACATTTGTTATTTTGTTATGATGTTCAAAGCTGTTTTCGATTTGTAAACCTCTTACCTTTGCAGAGGCAATCACATCAGCTCAAGGTTTTGTTTGTTTCCCATGCAAAATCGGTTTTTCAAAGTCTCTGTTGGGTAAAGTACTGTAGGTGGTTGGTTTATGGTTTCGCTTCTGGGGGTTGCAACTGCTTGGCAATTCATTTGTACCTCTTAAAAATTCTCTCGTAATTGATCTTGTTATCCAAACGGTAGATTTCAGCCTACTCCAGAAATGTTGGGACAAGATATTGTTGGGTTGTTTTGATCCAAAGGCAGATTTTAAAACCCATGAATTTGAAAGCCCTTTAGTTGAAATTCGTGGATTTTTAGTTCACATTGAAATCCAAACCTATGTTTACAAAGGCGACCTAAGGTTCCTAGGATCCACCACTTCTTATGGTGAAATAATCTCCACCTTTCTCACTGTAAAAGTTGTTCCAAGTTTCATTCTCTTTCTCTGTTTATTTTTTGTTAGCTTAAGTAGAGAAGATAGCTGCATTATTTAACTTCTTTTTCACCTCCATTGTACTAAACTTTTCTTATAACTCGGACAATCAGAAATGTGACCCATTGAATTCAAGTTAGTCTTTTATTATTTTAATGTAGATGATTAGAGTTAAAGAAATCTAATACAATATCCATCTTTTTATGTGGTAAAATTATGTTTTAATTAATTTATTATTTTAAGAGTCTTGCAGATTATGTATTTGGCGGTATGCTGATTGTTCATGAGAGCATCACTTTCAATCATCAACATTTGCTGTGCTGGATTAAAGAGAACATCCAGGCTTTTCTCTTCCCTGAATTTAGCATTGTCTACATCCTCATCTTTTTCAGAGGATGAAGTTCTTATCCGTGGTGATTACGTTGATTCCATTTTCGGGAACAATGATGATCTTTTGCAAAATGTTACCTGCATTTCAGCTGAGTGTATGGAGAAATATAATGATTTACATGAGTTTTCCGAGGATAAGGATTCCGCGATTTATGAATATCATGAAAAAGCAAAGTACAACAATGAGTTGAATAGCGTCACTTTAATACTTGAGAACTGCGGATGGAATTTAGGGTCTCCAAATAGTTATAACAAGTTTTATTTAGACCAGGATAGCATAATTCGGATTCTGAATCATCTACTTGAGGAGAGCTTGGATGCTGCTCTTGCTCTTTATTTTTTTAGGTGGTCAGAGTGTTGCATGGGATCAAAGCATGGGATACAATCTGTTTGTACAATGATACATATTTTGGTTGCTGGGAATATGAATTATAGGGCAGTGGATCTAATTTTATGTCTTGTGAGAAAGAATGATGGAGAGGATTGGTGGCTCAATTTGTTGTTGAGAGTTCTTCACGAAACTCATACTGAAAGAAGGGTATTGGTAACTACATATAGCATGCTTGTTGACTGTTATGTTAAGGAAAATATGGTGAATTCCGCTCTCAAGTTATGTTTTCGAATGAAACATCTAAATATCTTTCCATCAATTGGGGTTTGCAATTCACTTCTCAGGGTGTTATTACAGTCAAAGCAGACACAATTGGCTTGGGATTTTTTGGAAGAATTTCAGAGCCAAGGTTTGGGGTTCAATGCTTCGATTATTAGTTTGTTTATCCACAAGTACTGTACAGAGGGTAATCTTGAATGTGGTTGGAAGTTGTTGATGGAAATGAGAAACTACAAGATTAATCCTGACGTTGTTGCATATACTATGTTGATTGATTCCTTTTGCAAAATGTCTCTTTTAAGAGAAGGTACCTCTATATTGTTCAAAATGACAGCAATGGGTATTTCACTTGATTCAGTGTCTGTTAGTTCAGTTATTGATGGTTTCTGCAAGGCGGGAAAATTTGAGGAAGCACTTGATATTTTGAAAATATTCAGTCTTCCACCCAATATCTATGTCTATAACAGCTTTATTTCAAAGTTATGTACTGATGGTGACATGGGCACAGCTTCTAATGTTTTTCATGAGATGTCAGAATCAGGCTTGCGTCCTGATTGTTTTAGTCTAACCACTATCATTGGAGGATACTGCAAAATTAGGGACGTAAATGCGGCTCTTATGTTTCTGGGTAAGATGTTGAAGTTGGGAATTCAACCATCAGTTACTACATACACAACACTTGTCGATGGTTATTGCAAGTCTGGAGACGTGGACATGGCAGAACATTTGTTTCAGAATATGTTGGCAGAGAGTTTGGTACCTGATATTGTCGCATACAACACACTAATGGATGGCTATGGAAGGAAGGGTTTGTTACATAAGGCTTTTGGGTTGTTGGACATGATGAAATCTGCAGGCGTCTCTCCTGATATTGTGACCTATAACACCATCATTCACAGCCTTATCTTGCGAGGATTTGTAAGCGAGGCAGAAGGAATATTAGAGGAGCTCATTATAAGGGGCTTTTCTCCTGATGTTGTAACATTCACTAACATTGTGGGTGGGTTCTCTAAAAAAGGGAATTTTGAAGAAGCATTTCTTGTGTGGTTTTACATGAGTGAGCACCATATAAAGCCTGACGTTGTGACCTGCAGTGCCCTTTTGAATGGGTATTGTACGGCACGTCGTATGGATGAGGCCAATTCTCTGTTTAACAAGATGCTTGATGTAGGTTTGATTCCAGATCTGGTTTTGTACAACACTCTCATTCATGGATTTTGTAGTGTAGCCAGCGTTGATGATGCATGCCGCCTGGTGGACATGATGATTGAACACGGTATCAATCCAAATGAGGTTACACACAAGGCACTCGTCCTTGGATATGAGAAAAAGTGGGGTCAGAATCCTACAGAAGCGGCAACATTCAAGCTGCAACAAATACTGCATAAATATGGTATCAACATTGATGTTCTTCAGTGTTGAACAATTCAGCAAACCAGAAGCTATAGCGCCACAACTTATCTTGTGCTTTCACTTGCACAATGAGTTATAAGGTATGTATTTTCATCTATCTATAGGACTTCTTTGCTTTAGATGGTTGATATCCATTACATACATCTCTTTGTTGATCTTGAGTATAGGTGTAAAATGGGCCGAGCTGGCACGGTTGCACCATTTTTGGAGTTGGGCCCGACACGGCACGACCCCAACATGGGCATAGCATGACACAGGCACGAGCCCGGATTGTGTTGTGCCCATGGACTGTGCCGTCATGACACAACACAATCTACACCTCTAGTCCCAAGGTACCTTCTGTTTCCTTCTTCTGTCTAATATGTTAACGAATCTTTACATTTGTATTTCTGTTGGGGTTCATGGTTGCTAAATTAGAGATCAAATAGATTTTTCATGTTATGGAAACTCGTGAGTGGTGGATTTAGTTAAGACATAAAAGAGTTTAGTTTTCAAATTTTTATTTCAAGAATTCAGTAAGGCATAAAGTGCAAAAGCTCCAAATCTGTCTTGAAAGAGTTTTCTTCGAGTGAGCAATCTTTCTATCTTTTTGGGTTGCATGCCCAAGGAAATGTTTTTTGTATATTGAGATGGATTGATCTTTCGTGTCTCTTCTTTGTACCAGTCGATGCTACCGCTGTGCCCATCGATCGATCGATTTTAGAGTTACTTGCGATTCCCTTACGGAGTTGGATCTACAGATAGACTTGGTTCTCCAAATCCCTCCTTCCATTTGTTTTCCAAATGTCAAAAAATTGATTCTCAAAGATGTTACATTTCTGGATGACCATGCAACCCAGCAGCTCTTTTCCGGCTGTCCAGCCCTTGCATATTTGAGGTTAGATGGATGCGAGCCATATTGCATCTCCACTTGCAGTTCACTAACAGAGTTGGATTTACTCATTAACTGGGTTCTTCATGTTCCTCCTTCCATTTACATTTCCGGATAACTATGCGACCCAGCAGCTCTTTTCTGGATGCCCTGCCCTTGAATTGTTGTCATTAGACGAATGCTGCTGGATGAATCTCCGAAGCCTGGGAGCAGAATATGATCAAAGTGGTTGCCAGGCCCCCATTTTGGGTACGAGTCCCAAATACTTCACTTACACCGGCAAACTTGAAAATGAAATTTGCTTATGCAGTTGATCATCACTAGTTGAAGCAAGGGTAACAATAATTTTCATCTCGGAGCATAGGGAGAGGGAAGTTTCTTATCATCTTAACAAGCTTCTTAGAGCGTTCTCTAATGTAAAAAGCCTAACACTATCGAGCCAAGCGGTTGGGGTATGTTTGCTGCTTTCATTGAATTTGACCCCCAAAAAATGTGCTTAGATGTGTTGGCGTCCTTTCATAATCTGTAGTGATCGGCTTGTCTGATGCAAAAGGTTTATCTCAACCTCCTTTTGGCTGATTTATTGAGTTCTTTCCTTTTGCAAGGCTCTAACTTGTGCAAAAGAACTATTTGTCCATCTTCTCATGTTCCATAGTTTGACCCGTCTTGAAGTGGAACCTGGGCCAGTGGAATTGAACTGTGGAGGAATGCTGAACATACTCCAGAACTGTCCATCTATTGAATCTTTAATCTGTCATGTAGGTTTGTGGGCGCTGCCAATTTTCCAATGCATTCTTTCTCCTATTTTTTTTTGGGGGGGGGGGCTAAGACACTTGATTGATGATGTAAGAGATCGATCACCTGTTCTGCATATCAGGAGAATGAGGAANCAACCTCCTTTTGGCTGATTTATTGAGTTCTTTCCTTTTGCAAGGCTCTAACTTGTGCAAAAGAACTATTTGTCCATCTTCTCACGTTCCATAGTTTGACCCGTCTTGAAGTGGAACCTGGGCCAGTGGAATTGAACCGTATGAATGCTGAACATACTCCAGAACTGTACATCTATTGAACCTTTAATCTGTCATGTAGGTTTGTGGGCGCTGCCAATTTTCCAATGCATTCTTTCTCCTATTTTTGGGGGGGCTAAGACACTTGATTGATGATGTAAGAGATCGATCACCTGTTCTGCATATCAGGAGAATGAGGAACAGTTTCTAAATCAAGTGGCATCTTGTTTCTTGATCCACCTTAAGAGCAGGAAGTGATGAGGAATTACATGATTTTGCTTAAGAATACACCAGTTTTACAAAGCATGGTCATGCAATGTGCAGAGGAATCCAAGAATAGTCTAGGAAAATAGGTCTCAGTTACAAAAGAGGATGGGAGATCATTAGCGGGAAAATTCCAAACTCTCCTGGTATATTATAATAATTTACAGTTTCATCCTGAAATTGAAGTGATGGACTAGGTCTAGGTGTCCAATTTAACAAATTTCCACAATACTCTTGATTTTTCCCACTATACTCATACATAATTTTCTATGTAATTTATCAATTGAAATTAACCACCATAGCTCATGTCCACCTAAATTTATTTATTCTAATTTTTTCTCTTTCTTTCTCCTTGTTCCTATTTTCTCACTATGCACATTGCCCCTAATGAAATAAATAAGTCAAAGGTTGTGAGTGAAGGAGTTGAACCTATTAAAATCTTGAAATCCCATAATTTTTTTTTNTCCTGAAATTGAAGTGATGGACTAGGTCTAGGTGTCCAATTTAACAAATTTCCACAATACTCTTGATTTTTCCCACTTTACTCATACATAATTTTCTTTGTAATTTATCAATTGAAATTAACCACCATAGCTCGTGTCCACCTAAATTTATTTATTCTAATTTTTTCTCTTTTTTTCTCCTTGTTCCTATTTTCTCACTATGCACATTGCCCCTAATGAAATAAATAAGTCAGAGGTTGTGAGTGAAGGAGTTGAACCTATTAAAATCTTGAAATCCCATAATTTTTTTTTGAATGTTTTGATCATGTCACTAGCTTTTTGTTGATTTTATGCAAATAGATGTTCAATTTGTTTTGGTTTGGGTCTAGAGAGTTTTTAAGAACAAAGAGAATTTAGTTCCAAAGGTCGTCTTTGGCTCGTCTCCTTCGGCGATATGCACTTGATAGTTGCCCCGCCGTAAATCCAACTTCGAGAAGTGAACCAATTAAGGTAGTTTAAGCTTTTTTGTTGGTGTTGGTCGTATAAATTAGCCCAAATTAAGGAGTTATGTGGTTAATTTAAAAGTTAAAATTATAATAGAGGGTCAAAATGAGATTTACCTTACCAAAAAAATAAAGAGTAAATTTCATAAATATCACTTAAACTATAACTTTTATTTTAAANTAATTTAAAAGTTAAAATTATAATAGAGGGTCAAAATGAGATTTACCTTACCAAAAAAATAGAGTAAATTTCATAAATATCACTTAAACTATAACTTTTATTTTAAATTGCACATTGAACTTTTAATTATTACAATCTATCCTCTAAACTGTGTAATATACTTGAATTTATCCATTCTATTAATCTTATTAGAATTTATCTCATTTAATGATTAATTTTAACAGAATATACTTCATTTAGAGAAATATTACGTTGTCTAAATAAAAATTCAATTCAAATCTTGTATTCTAAATACACGTACAGAATACATTGAATGAAAATTTTGATTTTTTGAGACCTACAAAATAATATGTGTAGTGTACATGCATTTAGAATGAAAGATTTGAATTTTTGTTTGGTCAATATAACAGTATTTTTTTCATTTATTAATTAANATTGGCTACATTGTAATTTCTTTTTATCTTTTCCCCTACTGATTTCATCGTACCATGGGGCTTCACTATTTAGGATTCATTGGTTTTGACATTTTTTGTTCCTTTGGCAGTATGCTCTTTTTTGATATCTTGAGTAATTATAACTATTATTGAAATAAAATTCTTGTGTTTAGTATTAACCCATTAAAGTGTTCATATTTTAGCTTTCGTATTTATTTAATGCAATAATCGGCAATTGGCTTTTCAAATGAATTTTCGATGTTCATCAAAATGCCTCCATTTGAGACTTTTTACAAACAACTCATGAGCACAAAAATATATCAGAGGAACTAAAGTTGGAGATCCAAAAACACCATTTGAGAAATAGCAAGGCAAGACATTTAATGAATTAGTAGAAGAGGAAATAGAATTGATGATTTAGGTTTATTGGCAAAAGAAAATTTGTTCACTTTGGCATCAAATAATTCAACCATACATCGTTATGCCTTCTTCTTATTTGGTAATCCGGATTGTATATATTTTGTATACACAAGGATGATATATAGAAATGAAGAGGAGAAGAACTTGCTGAATGCAAACAAATATGAATTACGGTGCAATAGATATGCAAATGGGATGAGTCAAATATTTTTGAGAACTTGGTGCCAAAACTCAAGTCATTGCTTTGTTGTCAACGTCTGTTTGTGTTGCCGTTAAGATAATGTTAATTATGGTTAAGGACTTCAGTTAGTTGGAAATGATCTTATCTATTGAAGTATTTTTTTTTTTGAGGTGTCGCTTATCAGATTGATCATTAAGGGAAATTGGAGGGAAAGGGGGTAATGAAGGGGATCTGAATTCAAAAAAAAGTGGGTGTTTAAATTTATTTTGCATCTCATCATTTTAAATGACATTTTTTAAAGTATAATTTAAAATGACGTTTTTAAAAAATAAATGAGTTTGAGAAATAAATTTGACAGTCACTAGATTTAGGAATTAACATTTTGAGGGGAGTGGATTTGATAAAAAAACTCACTACCTTTCTAACTACAAATTATTAAAAAAAAAAAAATTGTGGTTTAAGAACTATTTATACCAAATCAATTATTAAAAATAAATAAAAGTCATTAAAAGCAATTATTCCAAATTTGTATTAAACATATTTGTAATTAGTAAAATATTAAATCACAATGCTCAAATCAAAGCATACAGACCCAAAGGAAGAAAGAATATTATTTGAACCTAATTTCAGGACTTAATAAATTACCGCCATTGAATTAAAAACTTATTTCACTTAACTATTAATCATAATTATAAAAATCCCTCTCATAACTCTTGCATAAATTAAATAGATAGAAACACATTCTATTAATAAAAATAAATAATACTATTAAGTATCTAAGGTGATGTTTGATAAAATTGAAAGTTGAACATTGAAAACTAAATGCTAAATTTTTTAATTTGCAAACTGTTTGTTATCAACTAAAATTTAAGTATTAAATTGAATTAAATTGTTTGACAAATATAAGAAGCTGAAATTCAAAAATTATTATTATTCTAATTTTGTCAATCTTTTTAACCAACTCATTGTAACTACTTTTTCCTACCACCGCCATCACAATGGTGGTGATAACGACAACACAATGGTGGTGACAGTGGTAATGGTGGTGGTGACGACAATGGTGGTAGGACTTAATTTATCCATCTCAAGTAACAAAAGTTGAAGGAAGAATTATATCTAGACCTCCTGAGGTTTGTCACATAATCACTTAAACCCTTTGATATTTAAAATATTACACATAGATTTCTTGAAATTTGTACACACATAATACTTAAACTCCTATCGTCAAATATCCTTTAGCAAATTATACCAAGACCTTCTAAAGTTTATAGGCGTATAACACTTAGACAAAAAATATTTTAATTAAAGATAGAATATCAAATATTATAAATTTTGTAATCAAAATTTATGTTATATTGTGACATTTATTAAAATAAAATAAAAAATAAAAATCTAATTTTTTCTTAAAAAGTCATAATTAATATATAGTTATATTATCTATTAGAATTTAAATTGGTCGTTTAAATAACCAAATTACTCCAATTAAAGCTATAATATATTGTGTCTATTACAGTTTGACTAATTATTTAATTTTATTCTCATAGACAGTATAATTGTATATTACTTATGATTTTTTTTTTTTAAAAAATTAAATTTTTATTTTTGATTATATTTTAATAAATAACATAATAAAATATGAATTTTAGTTGTAAGATTCATGTCCTATTATGAGTGACTTAGACTCATCACTTGTTTGATTTTTTAGTTTTATTTCAATAGATAATATAATTGTATAATAATTACGATTTTTAAGAAAAAATAGCTTATTGTTGTTTAAGAAAAAATTTCAAAAGATAAGGAATTAAGTGTCAATTTTTAAAAGGCCTATATGTAATTCTCTCGAAATTGAATCAAACGGTTAATTAGGAAAACTTGAAGGTGAAGTATAATTTGGTTTCTAAATCTCATAAATGGCGGATAATTAAAGGGTTAATCTCATTTTATACCTTGAAAGATCATTCGAATTTTAATTTGTNAGGCCGTAATCGGCAGTCCTAGGGTTTTTTTATGTCGATTCCGTATTCTTTGGCCCAATCTTTTTGGCCGCAGTCGTTTGGAAAAGATTCAATCGCTTCGTACGATTTCTTGAGTTATGTGAATAAAGCCAGTGAGTTGTCCTCGAATTTTGCCATGGCCATTGCGGAGTATACGGGAGAGATTGTAATGTCGGCGATTAACAATGTCAGTGGAGATTTGGAGGTTTCAAGAGTTTTCTTGAATGCTCTGTCGCAGAATTTTCCTCCAATTTCTCCTTCCGATGCAGACAAATTAGTGTCCACTCTTTTAGATCGATTTGAAATTTCGATTCCTAGTTCACCGTGTAGCTAATTTCGATAACACCTGAAGCGTCACCGTCTCAGAGTTCGACATTCGGTGCAATCCATTATCATTTAAATGAGAGTAGCAGTCCAGGAAACGAGGTCAGCAATGCCTCTGGTTCTTCAAGCGGTGAGGCTTCAAGGGTTACAGATGAGGGGACCAGTGCATTGTCGTCTAAAGGATATANATTTCGATAACACCTGAAGCGTCACCGTCTCAGAGTTCGACATTCGGTGCAATCCATTATCAATTAAATGAGAGTAGCAGTCCAGGAAACGAGGTTAGCAATGCCTCTGGTTCTTCAAGCGGTGAGGCTTCAAGGGTTACAGATGAGGGGACCAGTGCATTGTCGTCTAAAGGATATATTTGGTGATGAATGGGGGCAGCCTTGCGTGGAAGAGCAATTTGGATATATTTGGTGCTGGTGTTGGCTTCAATGATGAAGGAGGAGGCGGTTCCGTGACGTACAAGTGAGTGGTGGCCTCTTTTGAGGAAGAGCCTGTGGAGAGCCTTCAACAACAGGAGATTGCTTTCAAGCTGATTGGGCACATATTGGATAATGTCCAGATTGATCTTAAGCTTTTGTAACAAGTGAAGGCCATCACAGAGGTGCAACTCCAATCAATGTTGGCTTTCCTAAAGATAAAATTCATAGGTATCCACNTAACAAGTGAAGGCCATCACAGAGGTGCAACTCCAATCAATGTTGGCTTTCCTAAAGGTAAAATTCATAGGTATCCACTGGTTTCGAATTTTATTGATATCTTGATGAAAAAACTATATAGATGAATGAAAAAGCTGGTTAAAATGTTTGGTTTTGTTGGCAGATGAGGAAGCGTGACTGGACGGAACAGGGGGATACATAAAAATATGGTTTGGTCTTTCATAACCAATAGATCATCATTTAAGGTATATGACTTCTCTGTAGCCAATTACTTCCTTACAATTTTTTGTTCCTTAAAATTTTTNAGATGAATGAAAAAGCTGGTTAAAATGTTTGGTTTTGTTGGCAGATGAGGAAGCGTGACTGGACGGAACAGGGGGATACATAAAAATATGGTTTGGTCTTTCATAACCAATAGATCATCATTGACTTCTCTGTAGCCAATTACTTCCTTACAATTTTTTGTTTCTTAAAATTTTCNACATAAAAATATGGTTTGGTCTTTCATAACCAATAGATCATCATTTAAGGTATATGACTTCTCTGTAGCCAATTACTTCCTTACAATTTTTTGTTCCTTAAAATTTTTATACCATTTAACTGTTGTGTCACGAGCTTAGATATTTTCTATTGATTGTAGTACATTAAGACGGTGGAGGAGGGACTAACATGTTGAACTTTGGGAGGCTTTCAAGGTAGTAATCTATCAGTTATGAAGTTAACTTCACTTTGCTTCTTTTGGAGTACTTTGTGTGCTTAAATGTTGTATATGTTGTGTAAGTATGTGGTGTATACAATCTAGTATGTATATATATATATATGCTTGTCGAATAATTGAGTGGACATGTCATTCGTTTTTTTTTCTTATTGCTCTTTGTTGTTTTGAATGTTTTTTTTATTTTCTCTGTACATAACTAATTTAATTTGTCTTCCTTTCAGTTGATTGTAGAATGGATGCTAGCTTATGAAAGAATAAGAAGGGTTGGAGTGGGTAGAGATGCGTCTGCAAAGCGAATTTGGGAGTGAAAAGATAAGTATATTAGTTTCTCCTATTTTAATTGGCTTTTTTTTTTTTTGCAAATTGTGTTTTACAGATGATTATTTCTTTTTTCTTTTTGCTTTTCTTACTTGTTATGATGATTCTTGTGTTACTTCCAACTCCCAACACTCAAGTTAACCCACTATTTTCTTTTTTATTTTTCGTTGTTTTTGTTTTATTCACAACCAATAAGTGCATAGCATTTTTTTACTTATATGTGTTTGTGTTTGATAGGGTTAGGGGTTTAGCATTTAGGTGTTTAGGAGTTAGGGTTAGGGTTAGGGTTAGGGTTAGGGGTTTAGGGATTATGGGTTTAGGATTTTAGGGATGTTTGTCTAAATAATATGTGTTTTGTTTGTTTTTCTATTAGAGAAATTATGTTTTATTTCTTTTTTTATTATCTTTCTATTAAAATTGTTAAATGTTGAAAACAAAATTCAATTACTTGGAGATGGAGTAAAAGGTTAAATCTAATGTTTGCTTTAATTTCAGTTGTTTGTGGAATGGATGCTTGCTTATGATGGAATAAAAAGAGTTTTTTTTTTTTGAAAAGAAAAGAATAAGAAGAGTTGAACGAGATAAGTTTGCAAAGCGAGTTTAGGAGTGAAAAGTTAAGTATATTTATTTGTCCTAGTTCCATTGACTTTGTTTTACATGTAAAATGTGTTTTGTACATGACTATTTATACTTTTTTTTGTGTTTCTTACTTGTTATGATCATTGTTTCTATTATTTTCAACCCCCAACACCCTCACTATCCCATAGTTTATTTTATGTTTTTCGTTGTTGTTTTCGTGTTTTACACAAACTATAATTGCATAATATTTATTTGATTATAAGTGTTTTGTTTGCTTTTCTATTAGATAAATTATGTTTTATTTCTTTTTTTATTATCTTTCTATTAATTAAAATTGTTAAATGTTGGAAACAAAATTCAATTNAAAAGCCCTGAGCCCGTCAGCCCCATTTTCCCAAAGCCCTAAACCCTATTTGAATTCTATATTCTATTAGTATCTTCTACATGCTACAAACTCCTAATTTTCCTCCATGCTTTAACATTTTGCTCCCTCTCCAAGTAATTGAATTTTATTTTCAACATTTATCAATTTTAATAGAAAGATAATAAAAAATTAAATAAAACATAATTTATCTAAGAAAAACAAGCAAAACACATATAATCATAGAAATGCTATGTAATTATAGGTTGTATATAACATAAAAACAATAACGGAAAATATAAATGAAACTGTGAGATAATGAGACTGTTGGTTGTTGAAAATAATAGAAAAAATGATCATAATAAATAAGAAAAACAAAAAAAAGTAGAAATAGTCATGTGTAACACACATTGTACATGTAAAATAATATCAAAGGAACTAGGATAAATAGATATACTCATATTTTCACTCTTAAACTCTTTTTGAATGATGAGGAGGTTGAGGAAAAGAAAAATAAATCCAAATCACTAACCCCAAACCCTTAACACTTAACCCTAATCCCTAAGCCGCTAAATCTTAACCCAAAACCTCAAAAGCTCTAAGCTCGTAAGCACCAAGCCCTAAACCCTATTTTAATCCTATATTCTATTAGTATCTTCTACATGCTAATAGAAGTTACAGCGTTATGGTTTAGGGGTTAGAAATTTGAGTTTATTGTTCTTTTACTTCATTTGCTCCACCTCCTCATCATTGANGTTATCAAATTATACTTTAGATAAGAATAACTGATATGGATTCTTGTCAATGATAATACAAGTTCTAGTGACACAATTTTGGAGCTTTGAAAAGAGAGAACATGTGTGCATATCTTCGTAGGACATACGGGTTTGTTTTCTTGCTTGTCTACGTGACTATTTCATTTACATATATTTTATTGCATGCGTTAGTTTTATTTAAAATAATTATGATTTATAATATTCCTTAGTAATTGTCTGTGGGAAAGGGGAGGAGGAGATGGAAATATGGTTTGGTCTTTCCTATAATTGGTCGACTTGTCATCATTTCAGGTATGTGACTCCTCTATTGCCAGTTACTTCCTTACAGTTTTTTGTTCCTTAAAATTTTCATGCCGTTTAATTGTTGTGTCACGAGGTTAGTTATCGCCTTTTATTCTAGTACATTAAGACAATGAAGACACCAACTTGTTGAACTTTGGGAGGCTTACAACGTAGCAATCTAAGCCGTGATGAAGTTACCTTTAGGCGAGGTTTTTACAAGTGAACAATATTTTGCTTGATTGTGTTNTTTTTTATTATCTTTTTATTAAAATTGTTAAATGCTGGAAACAAAATTTAATTACTTGGAGAGGGAGTAAAAGGTTAAAGCATAAAAAAACGTAACCCCTAACCCCCCACGNTTTTTTATTATCTTTTTATTAAAATTGTTAAATGCTGGAAACAAAATTTAATTACTTAGAGAGGGAGTAAAAGGTTAAAGCATGAAAAAACGTAACCCCTAACCCCCCACGCCTAACCCCTAAACCTTAACCCAAAATTCCAAAACCCGTAAGCCTCAAGCCCTAAATCCTATTTTAATTCTATATTTTATTAATATCTTCTACATGCTACAAACTCCTAATGTTCTTCCATGCTTTAACAAAGTAATTGAATTTTGTTTTCAACATTTAACAATTTTAATAGAAATATAATAAAAAAAGAAATAAACCATAATTTCTCAAATAGAAAAAGAAACAAAACACATATAATCAAACAAATGTCATGCAAGTATAGGTTGTGTAAAACACGTAAACAATAACGAAAAATAAAAAGGAAGCTGAGGAATAATGAGAATATTGAGGGTTGAAAATAATAGAAAGAATGATCATAACAAGTAAGAAACACAAAAAAATGTAGAAATAGTCATGTGTAAAACACATTTTACATCTAAAAGAAAGTCAATGAAATTAGGACAAATAAATATACTTATCCTTTCACTCTTAAACTCGCTTTATAAATTTATCTCGTTCAACTCTTCTTATTCCTTCATAAACAAGCACCCATTCCACCGACAACTAAAATCAAAACGCACATTAGATTAGTTGCACAAATAAAAATGAAAATCTAAAGGATAACAAATAGCAATAATGGAAAAAAAATAGGACAAGAATGATGAGGAGGAGGAGCTAAAGAAGTAAAAGAACAATAAACCCAGATCCGTTACCCTTAGCCCTTAACCCCGAAGCCCCTACCCCTACCCCTACCCCTAACTCGTAAACCTTAACCCAAAACCCCAAAAGCCCGTAAGCCCCAAGCCCTAAGCCTTAAACCCTATTTGAATTTTATATTCTATTAGTATCTTGTACATGCTACAAACTTCTAATGTTCTATCATGGTTTAACCTTTTGCTCCCTCTCAAAGTAATTGAATTTTATTTCCAACATTTAATAATTTTAATAGAAAGATAATAAAACAAGAAATAAAACAAAATTTCTCTAATAATACAGCAAACAAAACACATTTAATCAAAGAAATACTATACAATTATAGGTTGTGTAAAA